AACAAGATTGCAACTTACTCAATCTGAACATGAACACAGACAAACACATTAAACAATCACAAAAATAACCAAATACCCACCCTGTTGTAGTCACACGAGTGACTCTAGCCTCCCAGGTAAAAATTAAGATACCCAATCATCAGGCCAGGTGCAGCGGCTCATGCCTGTAATCCCAGCACTTTGGGAAGCTGAGGCAGATGGATCACGAGGTCAAGAGATCGAGACCATCCTGGACAACATGGTGAAACCCTGTCTCTACTAAAAAATACGAAATTAGCTGGGCGTGGTGGTGTGCGCCTGTAGTCCCAGCTACTCGGGAGGCTGAGGCAGGAGAATTGCTTGAACCTGGGAGGCAGAGGTTGCAGTGAGCCAAGTTCACGCCACTGAACTCCAGCCTGGGCAACAGAGAGAGACTCCATCTCAAAAAAAAAAAAAAAAAAAGTTGCACTTTGGGGTCTGCAGCAACCTCTTGTTAGTATTTATCCTATCTAGTGAAGTATTTCTTTTTATTTTAACTACTGCCTGAAAGACACTGCTGTGATACATTAATTTTTAATGTAAGTAGGTGCATAGCTATAATGAAACATCATAATCAATCTTCATACATGCTGAGAAGATAATCTTGAAATCTATATTATATAAATATTGTCACTTCAATTTATTGTGTACAATTAATGAAGTTTAAAAATATGAGTTCTGAGTAAAATTTACAGTATTTTGTTTTTCCTTTAAGAAGAAGGCTGAATTTATCACAGACTTTTTTGGAATAGCTGTTGTAGATAGAAGTCATTGTCAACTTTATGAATCAGCTAAGTGAGAAACATATTAATTTTTTTCTATTAACCTGAATTATCTTAATTGGCTCCATCAAACGCGCCAGATAAATATTCAACCCTCAAATTGGCTTTCCTATTTAGAAGATGAAAGCAAACAATGAGAGTAGTTTCTGTTAAAAATGCAATTCCATTTAAAATAAAAGCAGCTATCTGTTAACTACCATGCCATCAAAATTAGGCTATCACTGCATGTAATTACTTTTAAAATGAAAATTAAAGTTTCAATTATTTTCTTTTATTCAGTGAGGTTAAAAGACATTTTCCTTCTCTAATTTTTAAAGTATATTTTTTAATAAAGAAAAATCAAAATGCCAAAATTTTTAAAGGATAAAATGAAGAATACTAAGCAGTCATTTATTGTTGCCTAATATTAATAAACCTACTGAGCTTAAAATGTATTTGAATTATTTCAAATGGAATAATTTTTCCTAGACTGTGTGCTCTCTGAGGGTAGGATGATGTTTCATTTCTCCACAGTTTCAAGCTTTATCCAGAAAAACAGGGTTGTCGAATATTCTATATGAATTGTTGTTTGAACTTCAAGAAACTTCTTGTATGGCCACAAAAGTAATATCATCTATACACTTGTAAGAAAATATTAATATATTTTAGTGAATTGAATTGCATGTGTGAAGATAGATACAAACATACAATATTTTAGAAATAAACAAATCCAACCAGGCATGGTGGCTCATGCCTGTAATCCCAGCACTTTGGGAGGTTGAGGCGGACTGATCACCTGAGGTCAGGAGTTTCGCACTTTCTTGGGAGGTCTGAGCGCGCGATCGATCACCTGAGGTCAAGGAGTCCTCGAGACCAGCACGCCGCAACACTGGCAAAACCTGATCCCTCACTAAAATACACCAACAACTAACAAAACCTTACAGGCGTGGTGGGCACATCGCCTGTAATCCCCAGCTACTCGGCGCAGGCTCGCAGGCAGCGAGACCATCCCGCTTGACCCAGGAAGGAAGCCGGATTGCAGTGAGCTGAGCATTCGTGTCACTCTATACTCCAGCCTGGGTGACAAAGCGAGACTCTGTCTCCAACGCAAAGACACGCACACAAAACAAAAAACACACAAGAAAAACAACATCAATCGGAGCAGGGCGTTCTCAGCCTTTCTCATGTCACTCGACGAAAAAAAAAAAAAATATATATATTATTATATATACTATATACCTC